AACTAGATACAACCCATTTAGGTTATAGAATGTGTAAGTTACGTGATGGCAGGGATACCTGTTTTGTTCACTGCTTTAATCTTAGTTCCTACAACAGTGAATGAATAGTTAAATTCTGTTTTTTTGTAGATTTTTCTTAAGATAACACCTTGAATTTATACTTTTGCCCACTGCATACTAATATTTACACATTTAATGTTCATTTGAGGGTACTCCCTGTTTACTTATGAATCATTCACAAATATCCAAATTTAGGACAAATAATTCATAGTGGAATAAAAAAGAAAATAAATATTTTTGTATCAAGATAATTGTCAAATCATTCCTAAAGGCCAAGTCTTAAAATAGAAGCACTGAGATGAAATTCTGTCTACATAGACACTACACATTTTGGTTCCTTGCCCTACCTGTATTAGCAAACAGAATACTAAAATAATTAACGGGTAGTAAGAGATCTTTTTCAGGTAAAGTATAAAATTAAAAGAATGGTGACATTAAATGGGTAAAAGTACAACCTTGAAAGAAAACAGTTATTTAGAGTTTTAGCAAGATCCACATGTCAAAATTTTTTAAAGCTCATTTGGAATAAACAAGAACAGCTAAAGAAAATAACAACAAAAGGTGGGGGGGTGCTGAAAATGAGTGGAGACCCACAACCAGATATTAAAATATAGACAGACCCTAAGTAATTGTGGCACTGGTACATGAATAAAGAGAACAATGAAATAGAGAAACTAGATATAGCACTAAATATATAAGGAGTTTTAGATAAATGTACCATCTAAAACCAGTAAGGAAAAGATAAACTTTAATAAATGGCATTAAAACAACTTTTTTAATGGAAAAGTTAGGTTAGATTCATTACTTATATGTAAACTTTATGCCAGGATTCACTACAAAGTAATCAATTTATATTTTAAAAAAACCAAAATCATGAAAGTTCTATCAATAGAATAGGTGAATTATTGCAATAGAGTGAAAAAGACATTCTAACTAGGACTCGAGGTCCAGAAACTACTTAAAAGCTGCTAAGCTAGACTGCATCTTAAAAAGTTGCATGGCGAAGCCACTATAAACAGTCAAAAGACAATAAATTGAAAAAAAATACAGCCAAAGGATTTATATCCCTAAGAAATAATGCACTCCTAGAAATTGATAAAAGATCAACAATGCGCTAGAAACAATGAGCAAAATATGAATACAAAAGACAATACAAATGGCTACTTTCACATATTAAAAGGTGGTCAACCGCATTTAAAAAAAAACATAAAAGGCATTAGTATATAATTTTGCATCGACCAGAATGGCAAAAATCCAACTTTTAAATAAAATCTAAGTTGGTAAGGTGGGTAAGCAAGAACGTAGGGTATGAGAATTGGTACCTACTCCTGCGGAGGGCAGTATTCTATTATCTTTCAAAATTACAAATGCATTTTGGACAATTTATTATAGAAATACATATTTATATACATATGAAACAACATGTACATGGTCTGCAAATAATCCACATGCCCATTAATAGGGGACTGGATAATTAAATAATTACACATTCATATAATGGAACACTAAGCAGCTACTACAAAAAAAATAGTAAGCTATCTGGTGACATATGAAGAAAATTTCAGTGGAGGGAAAAAAAAAAACAACAGTATGTATATGATGCCACTCTGGGTACAAATATGCAGAAAATGGCCACATTTGTATTTATTTGTATATGTCTTTAAAAGTATGGGTAGGAACATAGGAAGCCAAAAACAGAGGTTTTATGGTGGGATAAAGGGAGATGGCTCAGGAAGTTGAGCCAAGGACAGAAGGAAAATATTCCACTATATAGCTTCTTATATTTTTGGGTTTTTAAATCATGTGAATGTATTACTATTCAAAAAGTTAAATAAAGTATATTTAATAAACCTCATGACTCAATACAAATTAAAGGATGCTTTAAAAGTCTCCAATTTTTAGTTGAACGGTAAGGGGCAACTTATGAAATAACACAAATACACCATATTCTGAGCAGAAGTTCCGGAGTCAGTATTTCCTGTTTCAAATTCTAGTTCCACAACTTAGAATTTGTGACTATGGTTAAGTTACTTATTAGTCTCACTTATCCTCAGTTTTCTCATTTATAAAACAGAAGTAACTGTACCTCTCTATAAGGGCTGTTGTGACGATTAAATCATGAATGCAAAACCCTTAATACAATGTCTGGCTGCCAATGCGTATATTTATAAGAAACAACTTAAGACTAATAAATTTTCTCTCTCACAAGTTACTATCAAATCCTATAAAAAAGTAAACACTTAAAAGGGATAAGAGGGGGACAAGAAAAAGGAAGATTGCAGATACACTTTAATTCAGTTTCTAGAATCTGGTAGGTACAACAGCAAATTTTTTTAGAATTCTATTCCAAACTGAAGCTGCACCTGTAATGTTACTTAAAAGAGTGCACATAAATTCTCTGTGTGTATACTGTTGTTTTACCAAGTAACTTCCATGATACCATGCACTCATTATATTGGTGAATAGCTATGGTTTCTGCAGGTACTTCAGTTTGCAAACTGTGAACTGTTTCCAAATTTCCAGCTGAAGGCAATGTTGATGAAGATCAAAATAGCTGTCCTTATATACAATGGCACCTAGGTAAAGTTGGAACATATAGCACAGTGTTTCAAATACATAATTATCATACACTCATCACAAGTACTGAGTAATTCACATTGTTAAAATGTTAAATACAACATTTGACTTATCAACTTTCAAAACTGAAATTTGTTACTGTTCTGTCTGATCCTCCCCATATTCAAAGAATCAACACAGGAGAAACATTCAAATTGTACCAATTTTAATATATATTATTTCTAACTTACATAGATGCCACTTAAGAAAAATATAAACTCATGCTCTTGAAGAAAGGAATATATTCCTTTTCTTCATTTTCAATACTTCAACAGCTGGTACAATCATTTCTGTCATTTACATTATCAAGTCCTGGATTTTTAAATTAGGTAAAGAGATAAAGAAAATGCCAAGCAGTATTACCAGCCTAGCATTTTCACAATGCAATCATACTCTACTTTCACTTCACAACAAATGGCATGTGAACTAGAAAATATCTGTATCACAAAGACTATCTAACACCAGACTCAAAACACAAAGATTCCTACAACTTATGCAATCATTTAAGAAATACACACATACATGAAAATGTAGGCTGCCCCCCTATTTATAGTAAAATAAAGTCAATCAAATAAATTTCAGCTTAAGAATACTTCATTTATTTTCTTGGTAGTGAAAAAAATTTGTCAAAACCCTGAAAAGAACTTTACCCCAACCAGACCTCTTAATTTCCTAAAAGTCACTCTAATATACAAATTTTCCTAAATTTGAAAAAAAACACAATAAAGAAAAAAAAAAGACAATAAAAGCAAATGACCAAAGATTTTCTCTAGTAAACAGAGTTAAAATAATAGCCTTTATCTTCAACTGAGGGAATGGTGAAGTAACACTACCAAAAGATTTTTAAACTTACAGTAATAGACAAAGTGCAAAACTTTCACATTTTCTTAAACTCTAAATGAACACAAAGAAAACTATTTACCAGCAAGATTACTTACAGGCTTACATTTTAGACAAGTTTACATAACCTACCATACAATACTTGTATCCCTAAAAAATTAAAAAGTGAAAGTGGACGCGGGCCAATCAAGTTAGCCTTTTCTATAACAAAATCCACCACCTCCATCATCCACAAAAACCCCTCAAGGTCTATAAAGGTTAGATATTATGTAAGAACTAGTGAGCCCTTACTCCCACCAAGCATCTTTCCTCTCCAAGGGTTGACTAAGTATTTTTGAAAGAGGGTGAGCCAAGTAAATACAATTTAAAATATACCACTAAATCATCAATGAACACATTTCAGACTTTGGCAGGGATAAGGTTTAAGAGCACTTATTTACTTCATAAAAGACTGAAGAGTCTGAGGAGAAACTATTTTGTACCCGCATTACTTCAATACAGATGCAACTGTCCAGATTAATCACATCTACTAACACCTTTTAAAAGAATCATTATTTTAAATACAGATGGTATTTAAATCCAGGTTTAGAAAATGACAGGGACTTAAACATCAACTGTTGGCAGAAGTTACACAAAGTACCATTTATCTGCAATGAACTAAAACGACAAGATGGAAAGGAGAAACATAAAGGTGGCTTGAACTAACCTATTAGTTTAAATATCCTATAGAAGAAAATCAGATTGAGAGAGGATTGCATAGACTGTAATCTACAATAAAATTTTTTAGAAACACTTACTTTAAAATACTAATATTTGTGTTTGTAATGTTTTAAATGAACATAAATCTACATGATTCCATTCACATTATTTATCAAGGTGGAACTTGAATATTTATGTATTTTTTGTTTTCTTAATTGAACATTTATAAATTGGAATGGGGCAAAGAAGAGCAAAATGAAGGTAAATGCAAAATCAAAAATTGAATTTTAGGTTATTTAAGAATCCTTTTGATTCAACCCACTATACACATGAAATGTGGCTGGGAGTACAAGGACAACACTTATTTACCTTAACTGGAGCAGGTCCTTAGACCAAAACCAAAACAACAGCAGCAGCAAATAAAAAATCTTAAATAAAAAACAATGAAATTGAATTCCTGGGGATGCCAAAGTAACTTCTATTACTATACATTGAAAAGGCCAGTCATCATTCTGACAGTTCAATATTATAGAATGTGACATATATAGAACGAGGCTAGGCTAAAAAACACACTTAAAAATCACTGAAAATTTTTATCACTGATACCAGTCTTAAGCAACATTTGTTCCCTAGCACTCCTTTTTCACAACAGATTGTTAACAGTGTTATAAAAACGGAGAAATAATCATTTAAGTTTGACAACCAGAAATAGAGAATTATTCTGAACAAATAGAATATTCAACAGATGGAAAACAGGAGATTAAACACAATTAGTATAACTTACATGTTTTAAAAGCATATACTTCATTTATAAATAGCTCTAATTGATAATCTACTATGAATCATAAATATTCTAGACATTTACACTTTTTTTTAAAAGAGTTCAATATTCTTGAAGTCTTTGAAGATTAGTCTCCTGCTGAAATGTCCAAGATTAATAGGCTTCATTCACATAGTCACTTTATGTCTCTAAGTGGACACAGAAAAAGCCTTTATTACCTACTGTGTTGTAATAAGACTTTAAAATTCTGTAATTCTCTTATACTTGTGGAAAGCCTATAGGAGAAAAAAAAAATATTAGTATAGCTAATATGATGTGATGTATTTCAAATTACTGATAGTCATATGGGTTATAACTTGAAAGCAAAATCCAAAATAAAAGAAGCAACACTGAAGAGCAAATGCAAATGGCTAACAGGCATATGAAAAAATGTTCAACATCACTTATCATCAGGGAAATGTAAATCAAAACCACAATGAGATACCACCTTACACCAGTAAGAATGGCACATATCCAAAAAACCAGCAACAACATATGTTGGCAAGGATGTGGTGAAAAAGGAACTCTCCTACATTGTTGGTAGGAGTGCAAACTATTCCAAGCACTATGGAAAGCTGTCTGGAGGTTCCTCAGTCTACTAAAAATGGAACTACCGTATGACCCAGCAATTCCACTCCTAGGGATCTACCCAAAGGACACAAAAACACTGATTAAAAAAAAATACCTGTACCCCTATGTTTATTTTAGCACCGTTTATAACAGGTAAAACCTGGAAACATGCCAAATCCCCAAAAATAGATGACTGGATCAAGAAGATGTGGCATATATACACTTTGGAATACTATTCAGCAATCAAAAGAGATAAACTCATGCCATTCACAGCAACATGGATGGAGCTAGAAGGAATTATGCTCAGTGAAGTAAGTCAGAAGGAAAAAGAAAACTATCGGATGTTTTCACTTATAGGAGGAATATGGAGGACCAAATAAGACATCAGGGGAAAAAATAGTAACAATACAAAACACAACAAAGCACAACAAAAACAAACAGACAATTATAAACCAGAGACATCCTGCAGAGGAGGAGGAGGGAGAGGGATCAGAGGGAGGGAGGGAGGGAGGAGCACAGGGGACTATGGAGATGGTGCACAGGTGCACTGGTGAAGGGAATTTTATGGGGACTGCACCTGGGGGGATGGGAGGCAAACCTTGTTTTAAAATGAATGATGTAAAAAAAATATAAAAAAAAATTTAAAAAAAAAAAAAAGAAGCAACACTGAATGATGAAGCTTCCATTATTTTAAATGAGATGCTGTAATTATTAAAGGTGAACAAAGCACAGAGCTATGGTTCTTTAGTCTTTATTTAGAAGGGGGAAAGGATGCCAGTTACTTCTTATTAATAGATTCTAGATTAATGGTGGGAGCAGTGATATGAATAATTCATTATAATAAAGAATCTCAAGTCATTTGCACATTCCTCTCCAAGGTTCTGTCTTATTGTTCTCCAAACTCATTTATTTGTTTTATTAGTTTCAAAAGGGTAAAGATTCTGTATGTCAACTGCTGAATCCCTATGGCCTATACCTACTGATACTTATTGGTGTTCTATAAATAATGAATGAATGAAATGTTTCTGAGCCCAGGCCAAGAAGTAAAACTCTGGAGTGGGAATCACAAAAAAAAAAAAGTACTGTGTAAGCTGAATTATCCTTAGTGTATAAAATTCAGGGTTGATACATAAAATCCTAATGTTTTCCCTTCTATAATTTAGGACGAGGTAGTATGCATTATTAAGCTCCTTTCTCTAAGTACTAAATAAATGATAACTTTTCTTATATCAAGAGTTTTGGCTATTCCAGACACTGGTCTGAGCAAATCTCAACCTTTTTAATTGTTAAAAATCCCACCAAGACAGATATAAATTAACCCTGATTTTACATTGTATGAATACTGAGGTTCAAATGAATCAAATAATTTTTCCCAGGGTCACCCAGTTAGTAGGTGGGTTGTAACTGGTTCTTTAGGTCCCAAGACCACATAGCCTGTCAAATTATATGCTTTCCTTATACTCTTTATACTTTTACAAATTGTATGATTCATATAGAATGCCTCTGCCCATTAGCATCACATGACAAGGCAACTCTCTCCTCGGTGTCCTGAGGTAAAACTGTATTCTACATGTTGTCAGAGAAAACTACCAAATTCATGTAAGAAAAATTAGTGCATAAACTTCCCAAAGTGTAACAATGACTTTTGTATTGATGCAGCCAAAATTGTTTACTATTTTAAATGGATGGTCAGGTGGCAAGTATAATGAAGTTAAACAATTCTGTTAACAATCAAGAAAAACTATAAGAAGTATGAAATATATAGAATTCATATAAAGGAAATAATAAAACTCAGCTGAGAATAAGAGAATGACTAAGTAAATATACATGATGTGTCCATGTAATAGAATTTTAATAACACTGGTACAGAATTACAATATAATGCCAAGTAAAATAGAGTGAGAATATGAAAGGATCCTTTCGACTCTGTATATACATAGACATGCAACATACACACAAACACAAATGCTAACACACAAACACAAACATTGCATGTAAGTTTTTACTTAAGATGTTACTAGTGGGACTATACACATTAAAAATACATCAACTCTTAAAGTAGTTAGGATGGTAGGAAAATGGGTGATTTTTAAATTTTGATTATTATACTGTCATTTTTTTCAAATTTCCTATAATGATCATGAATTGCTTTTATAATTAGGGATGGGGGAAATAGTGTTTTAAAAGAGCTTTGAAAAGCAGAAGGGCAAACTGCTATTTGCTTTTCCCTGGGGAGGAAAAAGGAGATGAAATCAGGTGGGCCTTTTTTTGTGTCTTACCACCCCACCCTTTAAAAGAAGAAAGGTTTCTCACATCTAGTTTAAGTCAGAAAAAAGTAAGACTCTATTTTAAATGGTGAAAAATGAGAGCATTAAACATCCAGTGGTGACTGTATATCACCATCACAACATCCTCCACTACCATGGGATTCAGACAGCATCTTGTAGTTGAAAAAGTACAGTGACATATAATTTCATTTTGTGTGCATATTAACTCTGTGAGAAAGGTCATTATCATCTCATTTTACAGAGAAAGGAAACATGCTGAGAGAAGTGATTTGTACAAGCTCACACCACTAGTGAACAGCAGGGCCAGGATTCCAGAATTCTAGGTTCCCTGATTTTAAAGCCAGTACTCTTTAAAGAGCAATAGCAGGTTATACCAACTTCCTGACACAGAACTAAAGCTGGAAGGGTTGTATTTATGAATATTCTTAATGAGACTCAGAAATTTTGAGGAAGTCTACATCTGTTTGTCTGCATTTAACTATATTTGGACTTAAAATGTCTAAGCTGTCTAAATTCTTTGGAATTTAAACTTTCTTTTAAAATAATTTAAACTTAATTCCATTTCTCCATTTTTATCTTACTACAGGTCTTGTAACTGGAATGAATTTTTTATGAAATTTCAGTTAACTATGGATAGTCTATGTCTATATTGTATGTGAACTTTCTGTAAATAATGGGAGCAACAGGTGAAATCTTTGCCATTAAGATAGGGAAGGGGTAACTTTTAATTTAACTTCCTCTCTTTCACTTAATAACTCTTTAAGAAAATATAAGAAATGATATGTCACTTGATTCCCTATTTTTTTTTTAAGATTCATTTATTTATTTATACAAGCACTGAATACGGTCAGAAGCATGGGAGGGTGAGAGAATTCACCAGAGCCAGAGCAGGGAACAGAACAGGCCAAGTGACGAAATATACTGCTGAGAGGAGCAGCGGGCGTGGCAGGAGAGGTCTGTCGCGCCATGTGGGGCACTTGCTGACTGCCGGGGATCGAACTGGCACTGCAGAGGCTGCGGGCAGCTTTGCAGCCCAGCGCTCAACCGCTGCGCCATCAGGGGAGGCCCTGATTTCCTATTTTTTAAAAACATTATTCCTTGATATTTTTGAGCTTTTTCTTAGGGCAACACAGTATTATCTTCTGATTTTTTTCCCTTTTGTTCTATATTCCCTGTTCATTGGTCACTACATGTAGCTCTGCAGAAAAATTTAAATTATTTTTTAAACCATCTGTGGTATAAACAAAAAGCAAACCATAATGTCCCTATACAGAAAAAAATACGTGGTTAGAAAGAATAAAAGAAACTTTTCAGCTTAAGAAATGAAGAACAGATGGAAGGGTTTAATCTCTTTCTTTCAACTTCTTGACAATCAAGCTTTCCTTACTCTAGCTATTGTGCTTGTACAGCTTAAAGCCAGCTAAAGAGAATACTAGGAGGATATTTTCCCCATAAAATTGAAAAGGCAAACTGAGAAATACTGGCTATCTGGAAACTATTACTTTTCCTGTGACTATGGAGAAATTGACTTTTTTGCATGAAGGACACGCTAAGTCAAATGAGTACAGGTAACAGTTCTCTCTGTCAGCAAAATAAAACAAACTACTTTAGCAGGTAAATGATCTCTGCAGTTTGCTAAAACCACTAGGGAAATCAAAAAGTTTTCACTGTGAAAATAGTTCTTACCGTCCAAAAGCATTTAAAAGAGCAACTATTTCCTGTCGAGTAAGTTGGAAGCCTTTAGATGGGCTGTTCTCTGGAAGCTTTTGGATTTCTTTTTCAGAGAATAGTATCTTCAGGGCAGTTCCTAAACCCTGAGTCTAGAGAAAATAATATTAAATCACAATTAAAATCATATATTATAATAGCTATTATAAAGTTTATATAAGGAATACTCAGTCACTATAAAATACCAGGAAACTTGCATGAACTGAACTTTTCACCAAAACATTAAACTATACAAAATATCATTTCTACTTCCTCATACATTATGCATATGATAAATTATACTAAAATCATTTTTTTAACCTGGAAAATATGATAGCAGATTACACAGTTCAGTATGTAGCCCTAAAAGCATTCTTTATAGCCCCTAGCAATACAAAGTTCACTAGTTATACCTACACTTAATAATTTCTTAATTATTAGCATTAGAGAGAAAAATCTGATTTCACTGTAGCCCTCATTGAAATAATTGCCTCTTGATTTTCTATGACTTACTTTTTCTTTGTGGTATCAAAAATGCTAAAATACTCTTATTAAACAAACAAATCTGAGATTACCAATAGAAACAGAAACAATAAAACCAAAATCATTAACACAGAATAGGAAAAACATCTTCACACATACATATATGACATAGTTTTATACTAATTTTTTTCATCAATGAAACAGGACAAATACACTGGACCTACTTCTAGACTAATTCAATGAATGGTGAGGACATTTTAATAAAAATGTTCAACTACTCAGTGGAGAAGTTTAAGGTTAATAATAGCTTCAAAGACAACACACAAACCTGTAATTTTCCCCATAATCTGCATTTGTCACATCCAACACAGTCCATTATACGGGAGATATTCTTGAAATGCAACCGGAATTCCTCCTATTGTGAAAAAAAATATTTTCATTCTTATTAGACTTTTAAAATTACACTGCATTTTTCTGAATTAAAAGAAATATTTTGAAGTTTAGTAATGAATGAGTTGTGTTTTTGAACAGTGAAGAAAAATACTTGAATTGGTATAACTTGGAACATAAAACAACTTAACATGAATAAAAATTAAAAACATTCATTTTGTAGATTTGCCAGTTCTGCTCTCTACCGTCTCTGGTGAATACTTGCCCTCCCACCTCTGGACTACAACCCCATTCTTGGCATAAATTTAAAAAAAAATTCATTTTGCATATTAATTCAACAAACAATGTACTATTAGGGACACAAAATTAATATATGGTTTTTACGTTTAGGAACCATAACTCATTTCCATTTGATAGCTATAAAATCAGTAGTAAATGATCATAGACACGGCTTACATTCTCTCACATTTGCTGATGCAGCTTTATCCACAGTTTGTCTGCTAGATTCTTCTATTAGAAGTTTTGAGACCTATATCTGTGAATATCTGTGCATGGAATCTATGACTCTAAGGTTCAGTTCCATATTATCTGAAGATAACACTAGTTAAGAGAAAAAGTTTCCTTTTCTTTTTTAACCGGACAAACATTTAATGCATGAGGTAAACATTTAATGCATGAAGCTGGAGGAGAGTAGCTTAAAAACTGATCACTACAAGTCCTGCAAAGCTACCATAAGGATTTTGAGGAAATCAATACCTTAATAAAGAAAGACAATATAAATAGAACACAAAACTCCTTTGCTCTCCATTCTCATGTAATGTTCTTTGGAACAGATGGAAAAGTAGATTTAAGCCCTCCTTCAAAAAATAGCAAACAAAATATCTAGCATTTTGTAATTGAAAACCAGTGTAACCTTATGTATTTCTCATCTACAAAAAGGTAAAAATTATAGTTGCCCTATCTATTACATAAGGGAATTCTGAAAATCAAAAACATATTTACATAAATACTTAGAAAACAGGGAACATTACAAAACTGAATTAACATTATATCAATATGCTAATAGCAATATACTTTAAAACAATCATGAAATAAAATAACCTTCCAAACTAAAATACAGTTGTGGTCAAATTACACACTTCATTTTAGAAATATTAAGAAACTTACCAGTGGCGAATCACTCAGTACTAATTTATTAAATGTTCTTAAGTATATCCCTATCTAAAACACTTCAAATGTGTTTCAGAATTCCAAATTTTTCAGATTTTGGATTGTATGAATAAAAATATCATACAAAGTAGGAAAAAACACACTACAAATATTCTTAGATTAGTTCAGCTCAGGTTTTGCAAACAAATTAATTTGCACCAAACATTAAAAAAGTTTTTGTTTTTGGAGTTTTTTTCTATATCAGAATCACTTACAAAAGATTGTGGTGCTGCCAATCAATTTCAAGCACTTTTACGAACATTTGAAGGATGTAAGCAGATGAAAACAAAAAGCTCCAAATGTTAAGTTTCATCATGTTCCTAAAACATACTCTTTCTGATCACACAGATTAATGAGTAATTTTTGCCTTATACTCGTCTAAAGAAAAAAATTGTAATGGTTTCAAGAACTGTAACATGTCATAAAACAACTTCAGAAAAATACATTATTTCTTTCTCTCAAAGTAGCCTACAGTTCATCATTTTTTGAAAGAAGCATCAAGACAACAATACACACTGTGATTTCAAACTAAGACAACTTATATACTTTTTCTCAAAACAGTAACTTATAGAAAGACATTAATAAAGGCCCCATACTCATTGGTTATAGTAATGATTGAGAAGCCACTCAACAATTGGTCAAACTAAAAAAGGAAACAATAAGAAATAAGTTTGGAAAAGGCTTTTTTTGAGTATTATTTATGGTACAATCCGATTAGACCAATTTCAACAAATTGGAAAACTGAGAAATAGTAGTTTAGATAAACAGGACTAAAATACAACCACTGGACTGCTCTCCTCCTTCTCCCCTAATCAAAAGCATTTTACCTTCAGTGATTTGGCCCCTTTTTTGTCACCGGCAAACATGGATTTCTCATCAAAGTGCATGGGGAAGGACCTGATGAAATGACAACAATATAGTAAGTTACAGACAAAAATTTAAGAATTATGTAATAGAGTTCTGATATAATTATCTGTCCCTCAAATACTTAAAATTCATTACTCATGTATATGATCTAGTAATATAGGAAATTCTAGGCTATTCAGTAAAAACTAAAGTGAGATGAAAACGGCTTAGTGATTTGTAAGATTGTTATGTTTTAAATTACATGATAGTTATCTAAAAATTAAAATAATTAATGTGAACACATGTAGCTCTTAAATGTTAAAATGTTTTAACATGTCAATACATAATTTACTTTACACATTTTGAATACTATCTGAATTTAAAATAGCAACTAGAACAATACAAAATTAGCAGAAAGAACATTCACGTAGCATTAAATTTTGATACCACAAAATTAAAAATTTTATCTTAAAATACAGCCTATTTACAAGTATTAAAGTTTCTACAACGTATTTTAAACAGATTCTTTAAAGTTATATTTTTAGAAAAGTTTTAAATGTCACTGTTCTACTGACCATTTCCCTTCTCAGTTCTAATTTTCCCTCTTGCTCACTAATACTTTCAGAAGTCAGTTTCTGTACCACCTATTTCAAAGAGTGGAGAATTTCAGATCCCTGGTAATCAACTCTTACTTTGTATCTTGAAAGATATTCAGTAGGAGGGTTTTTGTGTCAGCATCTTCTTCTACATTTCCAGTGTACAGATCAACAATTGAGCGCTCAAAATATGGAGCCACCTTTGATAGAGCTCGAAGTTCAATTAAGTATAAAAAGTACAGATTTTTTAGCCTTCTTGGACCTTCTCCCTTGGTTTCCACAGGGTCAAAGCGGCGTTTAAATTCTTTGATATTAGGTCCCCAACTAGGTTTACCCCAGGTTTCTAAAAAGAAAGAGAAATAAATCACATACTTTTTATAAATAGGATTTTTTTCTTAAAAAAATATGTATTCCCCACCCCAACATTTTTTACCCTAATAGAAAATAAACTACTTAAACATCTGATTACCTTCCAAAAGATAATTTGCACACAGATGTAAATTGATACTAGCATGAAGTCCTGATATAAGCTTATAGAAGACTCTTTTCTCCAGACACAAACCTATTCAGAAAAATATTAAAAAGAAATCACATTTAATAAGAAAATAGAAATACCAAATTACAATAATTCAGAAAGGATGCTCAACACTTCACTAAACACCAGGGAAATACAATTCAAAATCACAATGAGATTACTTCACATCAGTTAGAATAGTTATTACCAAATATACGAGAAATAACAAATATTGGCAAGGATGTGGAGAAACAGATAAAATGGAATTCTTGTGCACTACTGGTGGAAATGTAAGCTGGTGCAGCCAGTATGGAAACAGTAAGGAGATCTCTCAAAAATTAAAAAACAGAACTATCATGTGATCCTGCAATTCCATTTCTGGGTATTTACCCGAAGGAAATGAAAACACTAAACTTGAAAAGATACCTGAAATGGGGGAGAGAGAAGGGAGGAGGGAGACAAGGTAGGAAATGTACTTCTATAAACTGAGAATTAGGTAACATCAAACAAAATGGTAATAACACAGCAGGAAATTGTTGGATAGCTTCTCCCTGCTTTTAGTCAGCTGCTAGGTCTGATGCTTCTAACTGTTGAGGTCTGAGCAAAAGCCTTCAGTCACACATTTAAGTAACATCTGCAAAAGCTGATCTACAAAGGCAAAATCTATCAACTTCTATTTGGAGTAATATAGAGCCAATTCAAATAGCTAATATAGAAAGTGGTTCTCTACTTCTCCTTCTTCCTCTTTCTCTTCCATTCAAATTCATATTGAGGGCCTCCCTGGGGGTGCAAGGGGTTAAGAAAGCACAACCCATGAATCTATCCTCAGCCACTGCAGCACCAGTTTCATCCCTGGTCAGGAAGCAACCCACATGGTGCAGCAGACTTCTCCTGACTCACCCGCTGCTCCCCTCAGCAGTGTATTTCAGTCAATCTGCCTGTTCTGTTGCCCACTCTGTCTCTGGTGAATCCTCTCACCACCCGCACCTCTGGCCTGTACCCCAGTTCTTGTATGCATAAATAAATCTTTAAAAAAATAAAAAATAAACCAATTCATATTGAGCAACTGAACTACAAGATACAGATATATAATTTTTCTCTCACAAAAGGGCCCCATTTATTATGACAGTATTACCTGGCATTTGAAGATTGTTCAATGATTTTCAAAGGAATTTTGTCAGGCATTGTCTACACTCACAATGGGAGTAAACTGGATTGTTACTGTTACTCCCGTGTCCCAGATAAGGCAACTAAATCTCAGAAAAATTGAGTCAATTCCCTATAAATAGGCATACTCTCTGAAATCATGTATCAATATTCACACACTCTCTTTAGGAGGATACTAGAAGAGTGACAGTATTACCATAAATTTCATTCTCATCCTCCATTATCAATAGTCAGGGTCTCTGACCATTTATATACCACTTTTCACAATTTATATCTTTAAAATAAGATAATTTAAGCTAAGTATGTCTACCACATAGACCACTAATTATATAATTCCCAGCAGTATTTACCTATCAATACTATTCACCTCAGTAATGGTAAATATATGAATAGTTTTTTAAGAACAAGAGCAATCATATTTGTAAGATAACATAACCGACTAAACATAAACTAGAATTAATTAGTTTAACTGTGGAATTCCCACATAAGGTTTTGGTTATGAAATATCTATTTTCCTGTAGCATTCAACTTGCTTATCTTTCATTAATATATTTTAGTTCTTGGATTGATTAATGGCAATTTGGTAATTTTTACTTTTTTAAAAGATTTATTTAGGGCCTCCCCTGGCGGCATAAGTGGTTGAGTGCCGTGCTGTGAAGCTCTCCGCAGCCTCTGCAGCACTGGTTCAATCCTGGCCGGCAGGCGAGGGTCTCACATGGCGCTGCAGACCTCTCCTATTGTGCCCGCTGCTCCCCTCAGCTGTGTATTTCAGTCAGTCTGCCTGTTCTGTTCCCTGCTCTGTCTCTAGTGAATTCTCTCACCCTCCCGTGCATCTGGCCTGTACCCTGGTTCTTGTATAAATAATCTTTAAAAAAAAAAAGATTTATTTATTTATTCATAAAAGAACTGGTGTACAGGTCAGAGGTGCTGGGGGGTGAGAATATTCACCAGGGATAGTGGGGAGCAGAACAGAAAGATCTATTGAAATACAATGCTAAGAGGAGCAGTGGGTGAGACAGGAGAGGTCTGCTGCACCATGTAGGTAGCTCCCTGGCCAGCCGGGGGATCAAACTCATGCTGCAGAGTCTGCGGATCATTTCATAGTGCTGTGCTTAACCCCCTGCGCCACCAGGGAGGCCCCAATTTGGTAATTTTTCAAAAAGCATCATATATCCAGTTATGAACCAAAGTTGTTAAAATCATAGAACATTCAGCATTCAAATAGTAACACTCTATATTTTCAACACTTACCAGATATAAGAATGAAAAATTACATAATATAGTGGGATCTCTATTGCTTTAATTCTTTAAACAAGTTTAGACTATCTTAACATTTATTGATATAGACCATTCAACAATATAATTTGTTCCACCTGAATTTCAAACATAAACTCTTCTCAATTTCATATATTAAAATGAGTACGTTTCCCCAAAATGTCTCTATTTGAAAAATTATATGTGCATAATGGTTACTAGAAAAGGAGATTGGGTAAGCATTATACACAGAATGAAAGTAAAACTGGGGAATGAGTTATGACAACTTGGTGACCGTATCTGCCCTATATATTTTCATAATGTTGTTTTTTGGTTGACCAATATGCTCATATTTTCCAAATAATTTTATTCCAAAATATAATAACCTAAAACATGTTAATTTCTGTCAAAAACTGTCAATATTAATTGTCTAGGTAATGAATCTTAAAGCTTACAAAAATATATTATACAGATCACAATTTTTTTAATGGGAAGCCAATAAATTTAAAACAAACATTAAGTTTACCTTCTAGCCATGTGTAGAATGATTCTCCTAAAAGAAAAACCACACACAGAGCATTGGATTAAATTATTTTCCATGATCATTTATAAATAAGTAAATTAAGTCTATAAAATATTTCTTATGACCAATTAGGAATAACTCTAGGAATAACTGCTTCATGTGAAGTGGAAAAATAGGCATATGGTTCTAGACAACAAAGCCCCAAAGTAATTTAAGTAACTTTACAAAACTGTTCTTCTTCTTATTGTTGAGAAAAAAATTTCAATCAAAATAGGAGGTTTAAGCATTCACAAGTATGGGAGAAAAAGTCTAACAATCTTAAATGGACTTTCGATGATAATCATAGCCCTCTTTTAAAATAAAAAAAAGAAAAAATTTCCAGAGTTTTAAATAACTCTTTTAAATTTCCTAAACCAATAATACTAGGTATATTTCCTTATTTATCTAGGACTACTAAGTTTCAAGGAATAATTCTTTTTAAAAATCCTTTAATTTTAAATATAATTCTTCAAAAGTTAATGACTAAATATGGAAGGCCCCGACTTACCTATGTACTAATGCTGAATGTACTATTTCTAGCCCAAAAACTGTTTCTCTTTAGTTAAAAAAAAAAAAAAAGGTAGCCAATAAACATCAAAATAGTTAATGTACTCCTCAAGTTACATTTCCTTATTTTGAGAAAATCAAAGAATAGGAGATACTCAACACACAGATGTGTTGAGCAAGGGGCTTGGGGAACAATCAGTTTGGAGGGAATAACTTTTCCTCCCAAAAGTCTTCACATTTTGCAAAACAACGCAAACATCTTCCCACAGATTCACTTATTCAACACATTCCTAACTAAGGTGCATTCATCATTATCTCACTTATCTATTCAGCAAACCTCTCGTGCTAAAAGGTCAGTATAGCTCCCAAGGTCCTCAATAATCTGGCCTGATTTCATATTTCTAATTTAACCTACTCCTATACAAAATCTTTCCTACTGCTAACAAGATTTCTCCAAACATGCTTGATTTTTTCCTTTCTTAACTCCTTAGTCCATGCTATTGCCTCCAAATAGCATATATTGCCCAATTCTACCTAAATCTGCCCTATTACTCAAAATTCATCTCAAATGCCACCTCCTCTAGTAAGATTTCTCAGATCACCTTAGTGATATACGATTTGTACCATCTCAAAAGAGTTCTATCACCTACTGATTGTACTACATATGTAATACTTCATCATTATGTATAGTACTTCTCATTCTTATGTAGTGTCAGCTTCTAGATGGAAGATATGATTTATATCCACAATGCCCCTTATAGTGCTTTTGAATATAGATAAGTGAACACATTTGAATTATTTTTGTTGCTTTGGGGCAACTAGGACCAATATTCACTCAATAATCTATAATATCCAATTGCTGATAAGTTACTATTCATCAGATTAAGTATTAGAGTAACAGTAATGCTACAAATTTCAAAGTCAACAGGAAAAGAGTCACCAAGACAATCTGGTAAAGCTATATTAACTTCTCTCCATTTCCTCTGAATATTCAAGCACATTAGAATAACGAAAAAATGGGGAAGTTGGAAAGTGATTGGTTTCTATAGCAAACATTTAGGTAAAAAATTATCTTTATTTTTAACACAGGTTGACTTTATGTTATTAAAAAAAACCTCAAGTATTTTTGGTCACCATTCACTGGTAGTCATTTTTTGAAAAACAAAAAACAAAACTTTCTTTTGTATGGATGAAAAATCTAATTTTAATCATTAAAAATATTATCTCTATACTTGCAGAAAATACAAGTTTTTACTCACCATCACCTTCTCCTGAAAGAGAAAATAACAGAATTTAGAAAATGTCATACAGTTCAGATTCCAACCCTATGTATTCTAATATGTGTTGTAACACTTAGTGTATATTAAACTATTAATTATACTATGTATCTTGGTCAACGTGTACTCATCCTGCAAATGAGACTTCTTTATAAGAATTTAGCCCAAAGAACCCAAGATTTTCACACATTTTCTACAATACCAGAAAGCAACAAAAACAATCATAAGCTCACTAGAGTTCAATAATTAACAATTATAGGGCCTCCCCGGTGGCACAGCGGTTGAGCACTGGGTTGTGAAGCTGCCCGCAGTCTCTGCAGCGCTGGTTCAATCCCCGGCTGCTCCCCGGCCACCGGCCACCGGAGGAGGGTCCCGCATGGCGCGCAGACCTCTCCTGCCGCCTGCTGCTCCCCTCAGCAGTGTACTTTGGTCCTTCTGCCTGCTCTGTTCCCTGCTCTGGCTCTGGTGAATTCTCTCACCCTCCCGCGCTTCTGACTATACCCAGTGCTTGTATAAATAAACAAATAAATAAAAAATATTTTAAAAAAACTTAACAATTATACAAAGTCACTCCTGTATTCATTATATATACAATCCTCTCTGAACATTATTGTTTATATGCTGGAATACCTTTCTCTTTTAAATTGCTGCTCCTGACCATAGAGACACTTCAATAAGAATACTTCCTAAAGAAATCAGTGAAGCCCTCTCTGCAAGGTGCTACATGGCTGGCTGGACATGGAGAAGAGGGCAGAAGGTTGGGCTCCAGGGCTCCACAGCAGCTTTGCTTTTATCAGCTGTATATCTGGAATTCTAACAGATTTCATTTTTGGAGAAAAAAAAAATTCTTTTGCTCAAAAGCTGTTTGAAAGCTAGTTGCAGAAGCCAAGCTGTTATGGCTGAGGAATAGTGTGGAAGAAACACAATGTTAAAGAACTGTTAAATGGCAATTAGCAGTTTCAATGGATAACACATGGCATCAGCAAGTGCTGTTTAATTATTTCATGGAGTACCCACCTATCAGCTGTGACTCACTTTCTCTTATCCAGTCTTTTTATCCCCTCCTCCTAATTTTTTTTCCTTTTCTTCTCTTCCCTCCCTCTATTTCTATATAGCAATTTCATCTTGCCAGCAGTTTCATGTCTCTCGTTTATCATAATATGACAGTGAAATATTTCTTAGTACTTTATTGTATTTTCTGTTTAAAAGGGTCATGGAAAAGGTATGGAAAAATGCCTTGTAAACATTGTACCTTGAAACAGAAAGTGTGGAGGCAGGTAGGGTAGAGGTGAGGGGAACCTTCTTTTTGTACTTTATTGCTTCAACTTCTATAAAATTTAGTGTGATTAAAAACCTTTAGACTGAAAATAGAAAAGTTATGAGGTAAAGTAGGAAAGGAGACAAAGGAGAAGGCATGTATATGTTTTCATGATCCAATTCCTTTCTCTAGGCAGCTTCAGAATGAATTTGGGGAAGAATATCTGCCACATTATGGTAGTCAGTATCTAAGAGCAGCCAACCATCCCAAGTCTCTGATTCTCAGAAATGCCTATAGATGCAAATCTACACCAGGAAATTCTATCTCATATCAATCCTGGTCTAAGGAAAACATTAGAAAGCAAGTCAGCTATAGAATCTGACCCCTCACTGAGAACAGTGTGAGTATGTGCAAATAGATCTATATTGAATAAACCCCCCAGTCAATAGTAGTGCTGTCCCACAGAAATAACATGCCAGCCATGTATATACATTTTTTTCTAATAGCCACATTTTTAACAAGTAAAAGGTACACTTGCACTACAATACAGCAGGGTCATGTGACACAAGAGTTAAAGTAGTCCTACCAAAACAAAGTTCTGCTTAACAGCAAAAATAAATTACTTTAGTTTTCAAGTAAGTGAAAATTTAATACAATGTGAAATTTAGCTTTACACTTGTACTTAATTTGCTCAATTTCTCTGTTTGCCCTTGACAAAGCAAGTTTACAGCAGAGCTACAGGCAACCTAATTTTCTAAAACTTCTCTACAACCGTCTTACTCAAAGTGTGGTATGTAGATCAGCACCCTGGGCAACAACCTAGGAGCTTGTTAGAATCTTGGGCCGCACCCAAGACCTACAGGGTCAGAACCTATATTTTAACAAGGCTCCTAGGTGATTTTTATGCACACTGAAGATTGAGAGGCACCCAGTGCCATTGGTTTATCAAGCTTGGCTGCATACTAGCATTTTATACACCTGGGGTCCTAACCCAAAGATTCTGACTTCACTGGCATAGGATAGGGCCTGGGTATCCAGACTTTTAAGTTTCCCAGGAAATCACTGAAAGAGAGGGAGAGAGAGAGAGAGCGAGAGCGAGAGAGAGAGAGAGAGAGAGAGAGTGTGTGTGTGTGTGTGTGTGTGTGTGTGTGTGTGTGTCTCCCAGGGGAGAAATGCCACACTTTTCAAGTAACTGCCATATATAAATATCTATATATATGGAGATATATCTATCTATCTATATATATATACAGATATATACATATAGGTTACTCATATGACTCCTAGTTTAAGGCATGGAACACATTAGGAATGCAAATAACAGCAGTTACATAAAATGTGTGGCAGTCTTGATACTTAACTACAAATTCTTCTTTTTTTTTTTAAAGATTTATTTATTTTATACAAGAATTGGGGTACAGGCCAGATGCATGGGAGGGTGAGAGGAGCCAGCAGAGACAGAGTGGGGAACAGAACAGGCAGAATGATGAAATACACTGCTGAGGGGAGCAGCGGGCGAGACAAGAGAGGTCTGCCGTGCCAAGTGGGACCCTCACCGGCTGGCTGGGATCGAACCGGCGCTGCAGAGGCTGTGGACAGATTCGCAGCGTGGCACTCAACTGCCTGCACCACCAGGGGAGGCCCTACAAATTATTCTTAAAACTTATTACTCAGATTAAACAAAATATTAAAAAGTCAAAAAATTTTTTCACTATAAACTTTTAGCTACAAAGACACTTGTAAACAATCTCCTAAAGCATGAAAATGTATTAAAAACCCACCTCGGCTGGGTGCCAGAGGATTTAAAGGGCGGTAAACAGATCGAGGCCTGGAAAAAGAAAGCACAAAACCTAAACATATAATGGTTTGACTCTTTTAATGTTATTTTTTTCCAACAAAAACAAATATACCCCTTCTCCCACTTTCCCTTCAGTAATTCCTCCTCCTTCCCCTACCCCCTCCAGTTACTTGAAACAATTTTCTTCATAGATGCTGTTCCACACTCTCCATGCAGAGGACCCCTTATAACCAGTGTATCGCTCTGGGTTCAGCAATAGATCTACGTATTGAGCAGCTGGCGATCTCTCATCTGAATAAGAAATAATTAAAAAAACGATATTTCACCGTTAATTTAAAATTTAGCATTACAAAGCAAACAGGAATACCCAAAGATTAGAGAAATGCCACACTTTCAAAGTAACTACAAAATTAAATGGTAGAGTGGTTAGCAGACTTGTGATTTATAACAACTTGGACATGAGAGGAAAAAATAACTTTCCTTTCTTTTGGATAAAGACTCCAGGCTCTCTGAAGTAACGTAACATCTCTCACCTTATTAGAAGTATTATTTCATAAGTTTTAACCACACAGGATTGAAAAAAACTAACAACTAATATATATTAATCATAATATATATTTATGTAACTTATTTACCATAACAGGATTACCTAAACACATGCTTGAAAACATTTTACTAGCATATACTGTATTAAAAATAGAAACCAATAATACTATAGGGATTTCCTTGTATCTTGGACTTGTGAAATTAAATGGATCAACTTTGTGATTCAAATTTGATCATTCATAGAACTATACCATGCTATAGCTAAAAAAAAATTTACGTTATTAATTTATTTTTATTAATGTTAACATTGAAATGCTCTCTCCTCTCAAACCAATATATAGTAGGCAAAACTTCAAGAAATTGTTAAAACTTTTAAAATTAAATAACAACTTTTGTGTTAAAACCCAAACGAATACTTATTAGATCTCAACATTTTCATAGAGATCTCTGAGGGATGCAAAAGATAGAGAAAACTGGTTTTAATTACTGAAGTTTATATTCTAGGTAGAAAAGGGAAACTCATGCTTTCATACCTATAGAAAAATTACACTATGCTTCAAAATGTAGGATCATAATAACAAGCTTGAAGTGCTATGTACATTGGCACATATTTGTTTATATTTTCCTACCTTTTGGTGTCATGAGATTAAATAGTATATTGGCACCTGACTTAAAACAGGAGCCAAATAAGTCTCCTAAAATAGTCCCTCTTCATTACCTGATAATATATTTTTATGTAAGTCGGCAATATTCACTGGCCATTTAATGACCACAGATTGAGGGGCCTCTCTGGTGGCACAGCGGGTTGAGCGCAGCTCTGTGAAGCTGTCCACAGCCTTTGCAGCGTATGTTTGATTCCCAGCCAGCCAGGGAGATACCCACATGGTGCAGCAGACCTCTCCTACCTCGCCCGCTGTTCCCCTCAGCAGTGTCTTCAGTCCGTCTACCTGTTCTGCTCTCCACTCTGTCTCTGGTGAATTTTCTTACCTTCCCGTGCTTCTGACCTATACCCCAGTTCTTGTATAAATAAATAAATCTTCAAAAAATAGGACCACAGATTGAGATTATGCAAAATCATAAGGGGAAAGCTGTCATCCTGATCCATGCCTCAAAAGAACTATACCTAGCACTTTTGTGACATGAGTACAAAGATAATGATAATGTATCACTACTGTATTAGTTGTGTCTACCTAATAAACAATGCAAAGATAATTTTAAAGAACATTGGCTCTAGTTCTAGCCCTAACATTATATTAATTCTTCCACTATAGAAAGCACAGGAAAAAATTTACAGATGGATGGACAGAAACTTTCCAGACACAGGATTACTCAAGATTTTAAAATCACTGTAAACAAATTTTAATTAAAAAATAAAAAGCTAAATTACAAAGTTAATAAAGGTGGATAGTAAAATTCAAACGTGTTATTTTTAATTTCTTTGTGCTATTCTTGACTATATTCATTTGCAAAGTTCATTAAGTTATGTGTATAGGCTTTACAAATACTATATATATTCAGTTACACACATTATGTATGCATATATAAAGAATGTTATGTGTATCTAAGCCTACATACATGTGAGGTCATCTATGAAATGTTCCGATTGGACTAGTATCAACCTCTTAAACCCAACAAAACCAACTAATTAAAAAAGCAGATTTTAGATATTAAAGTATGATTTATATTTTAAGGGAACAGAAAATCATAAAAGTCCATTATATCAGCTTTTTAATTACTTTCTTAAAACTTGCATTCTCAATGTTGCTAATGTATATTCCTTAATTCCATCAAAAGTTGTTTACAAATTTTAGTATTTCTGCAAATGAAAATGGTGGGTGTTGTTGACCCATAAAAGGGGTTAAGCAAACTATGACCCATGGGTTAAATCTGGTCTACTTTATATTTCATAAAAAAAGATTTATGGGAACACAAGTCATTTTTCATCTCATGTTACATGCTGATTTTACTCTATAATGGCAGAATTGAATAGTTCTGACAGAAATCACATGGTCCATTTACCATCTGTACATTTACAGAAAAAAAATTATCAACCCCTTACATCCAGAGTGAGAAATGAGTGAGTGAATAAGCATGCACAGGTTGAGTCCCCCTATAAACACACCGGTGCTAGAGTACATCTTTACTCCTGGAGTAACCTGCAACATGCTTTTAATTCCGAAATTGTAACTTCCTTATATTTATATAGTTATATTAATTATTCAGATAATTCTCTTTGCACCCTATGTTCTCCCTTCAAAAAAATATTTTCTTCCTCCTTTTATAAAGCTGCTTCAAAGCCTTTCTTTTATTTGAACATGCCAACCATTACTTAAGGGTTCAAAGATTTCCAATGAATCAAAATACCTAATTCTAGGAATTTATCAACTTGAATGTTTTCTCCTCCTCCTCAAGTATACTTTTTTCCCACCTGACTTTTCTTTTCACTGTTATATTTCTCAAAACCTAACAGTAGCATAAGCCAATTAATTGTTCTTGTTTTTGTTTATGGACACACATTTAAAAATACTAAGTTATGAACTCAGAATTGAGTCTATAATCTTTACAACCAACTACCCCAAATTGCCACTAACTCATTATTAAAACATGATTTACTCAGTTGAGGAATATCTATAGTTTATAAAGCTCATAAGTAATTTTGATATACATCATTTAAAACACTAGTTTCTAAATTTGCCTATTTTTAATTTATTAACATTTTAAGAGGGAAAATAAAAGTAAATGACTTTCACACTATTTAGGTTACTTATGAACCAACTACATTCAGTAAAAATTTGTTGGGCATGTATCATGCCTAAGCACTGTTATAGGCGCTAGGGCTACACAGTGAAGCAAAAAGACAGGGCCTTGTCCTCACAGATTTCACAATTTAGTTGGGAGAAGACAGACAACAGATAAAACATGTCACACACTCTCAGGTAGTTCTTAGTGCTCCGTGAATAGGCAGCAGTGTGAAGATAATGATAGTAGTTACTACTTTATAGAGGGAGGCGACAGCAGACTTCTCTAATGAGGTGACATTTAAGCAGAAACCTGAAGCAAATGAAGAAACAAGTCATGCATAAAGATAACAAAAAGTTAAGGGCAGGGAGAGTAAATTACTTTAATCTGCTAAATTATTTAAAAACCTACTATTTGATCTGCAGGAATCAAATTCCCTTCAAATAAAACAGTACCATGGCAGAGAGCAGGGGTGTATGGCTCTATTACAGTAAAATAGGGTGAATAATCTTTAGATTTTTGTTTCAATGTAGTGATTTTAGATAACTGAAATAATTAATGATTCTCAAGCTACTCTGACAGTATGAAAAAGATTATAGGTATAAATCGTGTAACTATCCAGATTAGTGGTAACCCAACCCATAGCATGATTTTATATATTTAGGAAGCACATAAAATATGAAAGTTACTAATTACTATAATTATGTAATCCTAAATATCTTAAAGCTTGATTTTATGTGCATTCTTTTAGGACATCTTTTCTAAATTTAAGAAATTTGGAACTTTCACAATTTTAGAAACTGATGTTAAAAAAGTAGTTATTCTTTGATGACAGTTAATTGGGTACATCAATTTAATCATAGCAAAATGATCACTGCAATTGAATAGTACTAGACACCTATTTACAAAATTCACAAAAATGATTTTTATCTCTGAAAAATATCTTTTTCATTTTACTCAAAATATATGTAAAATGAGAAGTTGGAAAGAAATAACTGAGGGCTAAACACTCTAATGTAATTAGAATGACAACCAAAGAGCATGTAAAAGAGTAAGTAGTGATGTGAGTACTTAACCTAGACACAATGGTTAGCTTTGAATTCTAAAATAATAGGGACAATGTATTAACTGTCCATCATTATACCAGCTATCCAAAGTAACTTCACTTAGGTTTCTTAAAAATTTCTTTGCTGAAATCATATAAACCATGGTAATAACTTTCTCTCTGCAAGCAATCTTTCCATTTTACCATACTATTGTAGCTCACTGTAACTTACTCCATTATAGACTGGATAAATAGGACAATTCTCTCTCTCTCTCTCTCTCTCTCTCTCTCTTTTTAAAAAAAAAACCTTTAGAAAGCAGTATGATCACTCTAGATGCTTTTGAGCCTAGAAAAACTTACTCTATTTCTAACTGTGCATACTTGAACCACAAGTTCTTTTCTACCACCAGAAATACAATACTGAGGTAAAAGGTAAAGAGAGAGGCCAAATGAATTATCTGCCTACTCAAAACAATTCTTGGAAATGTTCTCCTATAGATAAAGAATTTTGAGTCACTTCAATTATCTTCTATTAAGTGGTGGTTACTGATGAATAGTGCCCTATTTTTGTAGCATTCCAAGGACTCTTGGAAAGACGGCTGTGAGGAAGCCAGATTGGAATCCTCATGAAAACTGGAATGTGACTGTTAGTTTATTAGGACCTCCAGCAAATTCCAGTGTGAACATTTTTATAATATGCTCATAGATCTGCAATTAAATGACTTGAATTGAAAGTCCTCAGGCAATAGTATGACATAAAGGGAAGAATAAAGGTTTGTAATGAAGTCCTGTCTCAGCCTTTTGTTATTGTGTGGATCTTGGTGAGTTAGTCTTTTTGAGACCCAGTTTCCTCATATAAAATACTATATGCCAATTAAGCTAGCTGCAAAGATGAAAAATAATCATACTAAATACACTTAACACAGGGCCTAAAACATTGGCTCTCAAATGCTAATTGAACAATAAGATCCACATAGCAAAATCAAATATATTGAAGTTATAACTGATTATATTTTCACTGATTTCAATGTCTCAAAAAAGGGTAAAGTTAAAATTATTTACAATAGTTTATTACCATCAAGTTCACAAAAGTGGTCCTGTGAATCATCATATCTTGCCCAGTCAATGAAAGCTTCTTTGCTTTGATTACTATGAGAAGGGAATAAAACAGAAAAATGATCAAAGTTAAAAATTCAAACATTGTATTCTAGTAAATTAAAAATAGGTAATTTGAGGTTTCTTCTTTATTAGATAGCATCACAAATTCAGTTATCAATATTTATATGCAAGAATGATGAAAACAATTCTATGAAAAGCATAGATATTAGCTTCTAAGAGTGATTCATGTACCTTAAATACATTAAAGTTTTTAATCCTAGTGCAATTATTTTGACTAAAAAATTTGTAAGTATATAAAATGTAGTTAAGTCCAACATTTAAAACTGGCCTTTTCGGCCTCCCTGGTGGCACAAGGGGTTGGGCACAGCACTGTGACGTTATCTACAGCCACTGCAGCACAAGTTTGATCCACAGCCATGTGGGGAGTTGCCCACATGGTGCAGCAGACCTCTCCTGTTTCCCCTGTTGCTCCCCTCAGCAGTGTATTTCAATCAGTCTGCCTGTTCTGTTCCCCGCTCTGTCTCTGGTGAATCCTCTCACCTCCCCACACCTCTGGCCTGTACCCTAGTTCTTGTATGCATAAATAACTGAATCTTTAAAAAAAAACAAAAAAAACCCTGGCCTTTTCAATTGACTTAGAAACTGTGGTAAATCTTTATCATTTTTCCCCTAAAGTAGGAATTAGTTTACTTTTATAATTTTCAGTTTACTTTTAGTTTAAATTTAGTTTAAATTTTAGTTTACTTTATTTCTAATTTAAACTGCATCTTTACTTAGAGGACCCAAAATACCAAGAATTGTATTTCTATGCTCTCCCTTCAAAAATGGTATCACTCGCAACACTAAATGTTGCTTTTGTAATGGTATGTCATTCAGTTACACTAGCTCACATTTAACAAAATATATGAAGAGTTCTGACTTGAGGAACTAAAAAAAAAAAAAAGGAACAATTACATTCATTTAAATGAACTTTGACCTACACTCAATTTACCCTATATTCAGACTTTCTTGACCTGTCTTGAAAACATGATGGCAGCATCTGTAAAAGAAGTATTATTATCCTTTTTTATTCACTACATGAAAGGAAAAAACCAAGGTAAAAAAATTGTGTAACTAATGTAAATTAGATAATTCCTAAATATGGTATTCTTACAGCCAAGAGTTTATTCTGTATTTGAGAAACTGCTGCATCAACCATAACCATTACATAACCACTAACAAATATATGATTGGTTGCCCTACATCAACTTTATCAATAAATTTTTTCAATTTAATTTACTGTGGAAACTTTCTCCTATGGAAGCATATAATTAATAAAAGTTAGTGGAAAAATCTGTATGATAGTGGACCAAGTTAAAATATCTGATGCCTAAATGCCTAAATTCAAGTTACAGCTAAAATGATAACTATGTTATGTTTCATCAAATATTCCCATTTTTTGGTTATCAATATGACTAAGGGGAACTTTTTTCTTTGAACATTCCAATTTGATAAGGCTTTTGCTGAAAGCTTCATCTAACCCTGCTTAAAGCCATGCTGGTGGAAAGATTAGGAACGCTAGCTCAATGCTAACAGAGCTGGCCCAGTTAGGTTTAGAAATGGGTTAGAAGAAACCTTAGAGGTCATAGTCCAGTTTTTCCAACAGTCCGTTTGAAGATGGATGTCAAGCTACTTGCACAAAAATTTTTAGGTATTAACACAGAACTTCCTGTCAAAATGGTGCAGTGAGCTAAGTGGTTTTTCAAGTGGGAAACAAAGGAGCACAAGAGATGAAATGGAAAGATTATAAAAAAGCATGAAAAAACTTTGAGGGGGATAGATAACTATCTTGTTTGTGCTGATTTATATATATTTTGTGCTGAGTATATAATGTCAAAATATCAAACTATTTTGAATAGATTCAGTATAATGTATATTAACAATAATTTATTAAAACTATTTAAAAATTCTAGTACCAACTGTTGAAGAACTGTACACTATTAGTGGCAATGCAATTTGGTACATTTTGGAAAAGCACATAGTACTATTAATTTCATTCCTAGGTATATTGTCCATAGAAATATGTCCACCAAATACTTTGAAATAGCCCCAAAGTGGAAAACATCTAGGAATCAACAATAAAATGGAAACATTATGGTAATTCTTACTAAACAATGCTATATACCAATGAAAAACAATAATACATTCTGTACTATTCCATTGATACAAATAGGCAAAACTAATTTCTGCTAATATAATTCAAAATCATGGCTAACTTTGGAGGGTGGCATAAGACTAGTACAGCAAGTATCGCAATCTTCTGGGTAGCAATCATATTTTTCTGGATGATGGTTAGAATTAGGCTCACTCTGTAGAATTAACTTGACCCTTACACTTAAGATTTGTGTACTTTATTAATATGTGTGTTAAACTTAAATTTGAAAGTTTTAGAAATAAATTTTGTTCAATAAAAAAATAAGCAAAATTAAAAGATGAGTTCTAACAACACATAAAGACAGAATTTTTATCAGATTATATAAAAATGTTTACAAATTAATAATTTTAAAATGGAACACCCCCACCTAATGGTGAGATAACAACAAATAATACAAATAGGAATTAACTTCAAAATTTTGTAATGATTTAAGGCCCAGTCCCTCTGTTTAGATTCTCTTTGTAATCTCATTTAGGTCTATGGTTTTTAAATATCATGTATTTATTGAATGATGCCCACATTTTATCTATAGCCAGCCTCTTCCCCTGAAATTGGGGCTTGTATATTCCATTGCCTACTTGATATCTCTAATTAAGGTCTCATAGCTAGCTCAAACTTAACAAGTCCAAGATTGAACTATAACTATTACACTCATTCCTCCTGCCACTATAGCAAATGACAAAAAATGGAAACTCCATTTATTCTAGTTCCAAATCTTGTAGTCATTCATAGGTCCTATCTTTTCAGACCTCACATTCAGTTCTTCAGCAAATCCTGCAGCTATACCTTCAAAATCTATCCAGAATTCTGACCCCTTATTTTCATTGATATCACTCTGATCTCAACTAAACCACTACCATCACGCCTTATCTGAAGTACAATAATCAATGACTGACTTCTATAACATACCTGTTTCCCTCAACATATTTTCTCAAAATCCTCCAATGGCTTTTAATTCCACTCAGTTTAAAGCAGTATTCATAATGATACTTCAAGGCTTTATAAGATCTCTGCTCTACCCCACCTGTGTCCTCATCCCCCAGGTAGCCAGATTATAACTCATACTTTCATGACAATTTGCTCAAATGTCATTATCACTTTAGCCTTCTCTGATGCCCAATTTAAAACAGTGCAACCTCCCTCACATCCAGTCCTCCCTATCACTTTCTTGCTTTATTTTTCACCCTGGCACTCATCATCACTACTTCTCATATACTTTACTTGTTTATTGTATATCTCCCACAACTGGAATTAAGCTGCACAAGGGTAGGAATTTGTCATGTACACTGCTATACTCCTAATACCCTAGAACAATAGTTGACCTGTTATAGGCACTCCTTTGTTGAATGAATAAAAACTCAAATATCCAATAGAATAAATGTATGAAAAAATGGGAGCGAGTGGAACACAATTCAGGGAGAGGACTCAGTCTTAGCAGTTTTTATTTATTATACATAATAAATATTTTTTAATTATTTAAGGGACTATGGGGAGGACTATGGAAACTTGGTGGTAGGTGCAGTGTGGTAACATACACCTGAAGAGGTGTGATCCAATATTTCTGAATCACATACAGTATTATGACCAATGTTATCTCAATTTAAAAAATTGATCAAACTCTCTAGTAATCAACAAAGCATAAACAAAAATGAGATACTATTTCACACATATCAAATACTAAGAACTTTTGGCAAGGATGTGGTGAATGAAGCAAGTTCTCAATGCTGCAGGCAGAATAAATATACATACAAGGATTTTGGAAAGCAATTTCAAAAACAGTTTCAACTGGGCAATCCTAAGTTTCTGCATTTACTTTTAAGTATATATATAAAAAAAAACATATTCAAGGGTGCTCTAGGTGGCCTAAGTTACAGAAATAAAAAAAAAAATTGAAACAAGTTAAATGTCCATCAGTAGGAGAATGGCTGGCTAATATATGGTATATTTGTATGACGAAAACCATTCATTGCTAAAAAGAATGAAATAATCTGTTTTAACCTGGATAGATCTAGAAAGCAAAATGTGTTGTATAAAAAGAAAGTTGCACAATGTTAAGGACAGTAATACAAAATGATCTACATAAAGGAAAAATAACTGCATACACAAAAATATATATACACACATATGTATATATATATATATGAAAACAAAAATATGAACTGTCTATATGCTAAATTCAAGACAGTAGTTACCTCTCAAGAGTAAGGGATAAAAACAGGATTAGAGAATAGAACATAGGGAATTTTTAATTTATCGTCAATATTTCTCTTAAAAACGTGGTAGATATTAACATTTATTTGGCACAGAGGATACTGAGCATTTATTATGTTATCATTTCTATCTATATTAAAATTTTTCTTCAATAATTAAACTGCTAAGACTAACAATTATAGCACATGAATACAAATCTAAACAGGAAAAATTTAAAAAACTGAGTAATATTCCATTCCCCATTCTCAATTGTAGTTCTGTTCCTTTTGTACTGCTTGAGACCGTTTACAAATTATTTGTTGGCCCTCAAAAATAGGCTTTGATCAAGTAAGGCCGTCAATAGAAAAGAATCTATGAAACTTAGCTGTTAATAGTAACTTTTATCAATTAAATATAACATATAGATTGAATTACTATTTATAAAAGACTTAGAGGTTCAGGCTTCTTTTTCCATTATAGAAAGAATTCAGATGCTCTGCTAGTTGAGCAATCTTCTAAATTTTTACTTTTTAACATAGTCACTGTTGATGATACATTCTAAAAATTTAAACAAATCAGTTAAGAAGTGGGTGCAAATCAATCATGGAATTTAGGATAGAAACTTCCTCCTCTAGGGCCTCCCCGGTGGCTCAGCGGTTGAGCGCTGGGTTGCGAAGCTGCCCGCAGCCTCTGCAGCGCTGGTTTGATCCCCGGTTGCTCCCCGGCCACCGGAGGAGGGTCCCACATGGCGCACAGACCTCTCCTGCAGCCCGCTGCTCCCCTCAGCAGTGTACTTCGGCCCTTCTGCCTGTTCTGCTCCCCGCTCTGGCTCGGGTGAATTCTCTCACCCTCCCGCGCTTCTGACTGTACCCAGTGCTTGTATAAATAAATAAATAAATCTTTAAAAAAAAAAAAGAAAGAAACTTCCTCCTCTAAAATTAGTTGAACTTTAATGTTTTATCAAAATCACAAAAAACCCACAGAATTTTTTATATAAACTAAGTAAAAATATTTTATTAATACAACTAAAATAAAACTTGCCTTAATGTGCTGTTAATTGCTCCGAGTTTATTTGCTTGCTCACAATCTTCTAATTCTTTGGTATTATTTGCCACTTTCAGGTACTGAAACAAAGTATGTAAGGTTAGAAATAATTATTTTTCTCTTTATTTCTTGTTCCACTGGCAGAAATCAATGTGCAAAGCTGATACACACTAAATAGAGAAGCATTCTATAAGCAAAATTCTTAACATGGAGTAAATACAAATGAAAATAAGTCCCAAATTTCCTCCTACTAAATTAAGACACTGAAAAATTAGCATTTGCACGGTGATAATGTAAACTGGAAATTTTTTCTTAGAAATTTGACAATATTTAGAGTTATAAAAATGCACAAACATTTGAATCAGCAGTCCCACTACTAAAACCATATCCAGAGCTACATTACAAACAACAACAACAAAAGGGGTACAATCACTCTAGAAAGTTATATGTATCTTGTAATGCTGAGAGATATTCCTTATGGTTCAACAATCTTACTTCGAAATATAGACTCAGAAACTCTCACATGCATGCACAATGAGACCAAAAAAAAAAAAAAAGATGCTACTGGCTCATTGTTTGTAATAGCAAAAAACTAAAAATAAGTGAAATGTCTACGAACAGAGGAATGGCTAATTCATGAGGCAGTCATACAACTGAATACAATGCAACTGTTAAAATTAACAAAATCTACACATATCAATAGAGACAAAATTTCAAAAGCTTTATACTGAGTAAAAATGCAGACTGAAAAAACTGTTTTTAACCTGAATTTTTAAAGTAAGAGTATTATTTTTTAAATTTCATATAAGAGATCTACATATTATTTGAGGATATATGTACAATAATAGTATAGATGTAAAAAAATCCTAACAGTATATACATCAACTTCAGAACAGTGGCTAGGAATGGGGAGGGAGGAAACAGAATGGCACTCATGAGTCCAGAGAGGATTTTAACTGTCCTTATACTAAGTTATCTATTCTAGATCTCAAACAAAATAAAATGAGCATAAACAAAAGGCATCATAGGGAAGAGAAATCACAAGAAGTAACTGGAGCAAGGAGGCATAAGGAAACAGTCAGAGAGGGTATGATGAGGTTTATTACGTATGTACAACAGTGAGAAAGTATCTACAACAATGAAAAAAGAAGTAAACTATTACCTTAACATGAATGAACAGCGCAGTAAATTATAGCATGCTCATAAGAGGAAAAGAATAATCTTTAAAGGAATATTTTAATGCCACTTTAATAAAACACTATGTGCAAAATAGCTTGATAATTGTTTACTCTGTACAATGTAATCCTGAATATAGGAGAAGACTAAAAATATATGTATGATAAAACACCTGTTGAGTGGATCATCTGATATAGTGTTATACTTTACGGTTTTTCTAGAGGATCAAAAAACAAAAGTACTTCAAAAGAAGCTATATAATTTAATGGGAAAACAAACCACTTCTTTTCTTGCTGCAAGAATTAGAGATTTGGGATTCTGAGAGAAAATGTGGCTATTCCCAACTAACCATATGATGATTTTCTTCTGCAATCTCTCTCAAGCAATAAATGGCAACTTTCACTCTGTAAAGTAGAAATAGTCAAAGAAGAAAAATGACTCACCTTATTAGAACTTCCAGCTTTAATTCCGACTGGAATTTTACTCTTAAAAGAATGACAAAAAGATTTCAGTGATTTTATATATTTTGAGATTTTGTCACAAATTAGTAATGCTACCAATATAATTCAAAAGCTATTTTATTCTATGAGAAAACAGACATTCATTCACATTCTGTTTTTGTACTACTCTTGAGGTAAAAGGTAAGGTATCCCAATTTACATATTTATGATTCATACTATAGAAAATTGAATGACATAAAAATTCAGTCAAAATCAGCTCTACTAATTCTCAATGCAGTATTTAATAGTTTATATGCTTTTCAGGTTACAAGAAAGGAGATGATTTTTTCATGAACTTTTCCATAGGAATAGAGGCTTTTAAAACTCTCAAAATTATTTGAATTATGTTATACTCAATTTTTCTTTCTTCTTTAAGTTGACAATTAAAGTTTAGGCAATTTTGAATTAATATTGAAGGCAAGAGTAAGTTCTTCGGCCCAAGTGATTAGCAAAGGGTTTACCAATCTAGGTAATACGATATTTACAAATGGAAGAACTGCATGTAGATTCAACTTTCTAACTATATAGAAAACACTTTTTGATTTAATAAATGTATTAAGTATTACAACTAGATTATCAAACAGCTTTATTCTTTTCCCAATACAAATTGAAACTGAAAAACAATCCTAGTTTGATTCCTTAATCAACGTAGTGGACTGATTTCTAATATTTGAATCTATGGGCTATCAACAGCAAATTACCTATTGAAAAGGTTATATTTCACATATAAATTTTAAACAAATATTTTCATGTCAGAGTAAAGAACATAAATAAGAGATTTTCCCCTAATCAATAAAAAAGATCATGATGACATCATGTGTCTCCTGATACACTATGTTGAAAAGGACACAAGATATCAATTCTATAATATTCCTGTCCATGATGCATGAGCTGAATCTGATGATTAGGAAACATCCCAAAGAAATGAGGAGAAGAACCTCCCTGGTGGCACAAGTGGTTAAGAACTGCATGATGAAGCAATCTGCAGCCAGCCAGAGAGAAACCGACATGGCGAAGCAGACCTCTCCTGTCTCCCCTGCTACTCCCCTCAGCAGTGTATTTCAGTCAGTCTGCCTGTTCTGTTACCCACTCTGTCTCTGGTGAATCCTCTCACCCCCTGCATTTCTGGCCTGTACCCCAGCTCTTGTATGCATAAATAAATCTTAAAAAAAAAAAAAGAGGTGTATTCTACAAAATAACTGGTATATATTAAAGAAGGTAAGAGGGGAAAAAAGATAGGTTCAAGAAATCAAAACACAAAGAAATAGTGATGGGCTATTTCAGATTAAAATAAGATGAAACAGAAATTCATCCAATGCAATACACAGTTCTGGATTGGAAATGTTTTGTTTAGTTTGTTCTGTGATAAAACAATATGTAATTAAGGTCCATATATTAGAAATTAGTGACATATTAATATTCTGATTCTGTTAATTATGCTGCAGTTAGGTAAAAGAATAACCTTGTTTTTTTATGTTTTATTTTATATATTTTTTACATCATTTTTCATTTTTGCACAATGTATGCTTTTTCATCTAGCTTATAGGGCACCTGAACCCTATGTTTATAGCAGCACTATTCACAATTGCTAAGCTATGGAAACAACCTAAATGCCCAAAAATAGGTGTCTGAATCAAGATGTGGTACATATACATAATAGAATGCTACTTAGCAATCCAAAAAGATAAACTCATGCAATTTGCAGCAACATGGATGGAGCTGGAAGGGATCATGCTCAGCGGAATAACTTTGTTTTTAAGTAAATAAGCACTGAAGTATTTAGTGGTAAAGTAATACACTGGTTGTGTATTGCAATTGTTTCAAGAACTGGAAACAACCAGCCTAAGTACCCATCAATTGATGAAGCGATGAAGATCATGTGGTAAATACCCACAATGGAATACTACTCAGCCATATTAAAAAAAAAAAAAAAAAATGAAATCCTGCCATTTGCAACAATACAGATGAACCTAGAGGGAATTAAGTTTAATGAAACAAGACAAATACCACATGATTTCACTCATGTGATACATGATGAACTAAATGGACAGATGAACTAAAATAAATTTCTGTACTATAAAACCAGCAAGTGGACAAAGATGGGCAAGGGAAGGATTGGGTAAATCAGGAAAAAGAGAACAATTGTATTGTGAAGGACAGAATTGGACTTTTTGTGGTGAATTTAATGTAGTATGTACAAGTACTGATTAGCAATATACACATTAGAAATTTATATGATGTTATAATGTAATGTTATCTAAAAAAAATTTTAAGATGCCATGAAAGGAAAAAAAGGATCATATTGGTAACGTACACCTAATTGATTCAGAAAATAATATATACTTAGAAAATTAAAGCAAATGTGATAGACATTAACAATGAGATGATCTGGATTAAAAGTATATGGGAATTGTGCTATACTTACAACTTTCCTATAGGTCTGAAGTTATTTCAAACCCAAAACTGGAAAACATTTTATTGTTAAAGGAAAATGAAGATACTAAATTTTAAAAAAATTTCCTCTTAGGTAGAACATTAATTAGCTCAGATGTCTCTAAGGACAATAGGCTGACTGATTAGGTTATAAAAGAAATAAAATGAAAACAATACCTTACAAGTAATTACTGTTGAAGGATAACATAATCATGCTACACACCAAAAAAACCCAAAGTCTAAAATGCAGCATTCCTTACTACTAAGTTATTTTCCCCAATGTAACAAGACCAAGTGAAGCCCTAATTCCAAACCTGAAATTTCCCCACTTTAATTCCCACTCTAAATTTGAAATTTAAGGTGCAGTAGCTTTTTTTCTGCCTATGAAACAAGATGCAGATTCAATAAAGCATGAAATAAGAGTTGGCCAACTGAAGATTCAATCCTAGAACAGGTCTGATTTTCTATCTCTTTTAGCATCAAACTCCACTTCCACATTCAATTACCAGTGCCACTGGATACAAGAATGTCTTCAAATCCATTTTGGTGGCAAGGATAGAATTTTCAAAAATTGAGTAAAAAAGTGTAGCGCTGAGAACACATGCATTTGACAAACCCAAATTCATCAACATAAAAAAGAGTTCATGCCTATTTAAAATCTCAGAAAAAGCAATTTTTCCCCTATTTTATTTTACCTCTGGACAGGGTTCCACATGACAGTCTTTTATTGAACAATGGCCATCTTCTGCCCAGAAAGGACATGGTCGCTTCAGATTAACCTTGAGAGAAAGAATGAATTAACATTTGTAAATGTGTATGACAGTTCTGCAATGCTAAGTGTCACTGTGCCACTTCCATCAATGACACAGTGGTGAAATGACTGCAGTCTTCCAAATGCCCAGATGTAATACTAATTTTTGACAATAAATGACTACTATTAATCTGACACTTCAAAAGGGAATAAAGTTCAAGTACACTGTTCTATCTAAAAAACCTGGAAAGTGTTTCAGGACTACTTTAATGTAACTCACGAATCAGGGTTCTCTCTAATACATTTACTTAATATGTGTGTACTGAGCACTAACTATGTATCAGGCACTGTGTAGGGTCTAGGGGAAAAAGCACTCCAGCCCTCCCCCATCCCCAGAAATTACAGTTTGCTAGAAAGAAAGCATATATTTGTATGTTTATTTAATTATAAACTGTGGTAAGTGCTACAAAAGAAAATACAGAATTCTGTGACACAAAATAGTGAGGCTGGTGGAAGGATACATCTGAGGAGGTAAGATTTTAGATGTATCCACATGACTCGCTTTCTCGCTTCCTTTTGGTCTTCCTTGAACTCCACCTTCTCAGTTTGTTTTAGGCTTATTTGCTATGTTAGAATATACAACCTATGCATAGCATAAGGAGTGGATTGTGATAGATACTGTAACATGCCACTTAGATCACCCTTCAGGAATAAAGAGTACTTTACCCCAGCTTCTGTAAACGTTACAAGCAACCAGCCTCAGCTGAAGAGTCACTTTGCCCAAGGTTATTTGACCTCTATAATGACATTGATCCAATAATTAATACAGGGATGTAAAGGTCTAGATCTCTCCCACAAGTGGGGACAGATTTAGAGGGTCATCCCATTTTTAATAATTCCTCAAAAGGTCACCTGGAGATTCCTAAGGTTGTACCACAGCTTTATTTCTACCTTTGCCCAATACTGATTTCTTCCTTTTCTTTTCCCTCCCCAAACTCTTGGTTCCAAGAGTAGTCCCTAATTAACCTCAAATTAGCACATTTAAATTAGCACATAATCATTGCCTTGGCGTCTGCTTCCCAGGGAACTTGACCTGTGACAACTTGTCCAGCTCCAGGGGAAAACAATGATTGGTAATATTAAATTTATATATTATAAATATTAAATTTATATATTATCTTGGGTATAATTAACATTTTTATACTAACATTACTTTAAGCCTACTTTTGTATTTTTTCCTGAGTGTTTTGAAGTTTTCCTTCTTTTGGAACCTTGCTATGTTAATGCATTTTTATTGTGTTGTTTTGTTTCGGTTTGTTTTCTAGGTATATTTTTGTCATTTATAGATGGAGATGGTTTTAGTTATTTGTTTAAATTTTTTTGTCTATTTTTTCTTGTTTGACTACCGTAATACATCTAACAGTACAGGAGATAGTGGGCACCTAAGTCTTGATTCCTGACCTAAGTGAGAATTCCTCTGTTTTCTCAAACATTAAGATGCTAGTAATGCCAATGGTAGAACAGAAATAATCACATTAAGGAAGTATTCGTTATTTTATTAATTTTTTTAAAAATCAGTAATGTGTGTTGAATTTTGAAGACCTGAAAAATCCCTTGTCCTTGCATTCTTGGAATAAAATCCAACTGATTAGGTTATTTTTTGGTAACAGGCTTCAAAACTTAGGCATCATCTTTTGAGGTCTAGCCTCATACCTTACATTCAATTCATCAAAAAAGCTTGTTGGTAACCTAATTTATATGACACTAATTATATATAATACACTTGTACATGATACTGATTTGATCCGTTTTCACCTCTCCCAACTCTACTACCCTATTCCAAATCCACTTCATCTTTCATTGAGATTACTGAAATAGCTTCATAGTTTCTCTATTTCCTATCTCATACAAATTTCCTACTTCATACAAATAATATTTATACATATTACTATCTCCTCCTTTGCTTAATTTATCACCATAGCACTTAACATATAACTATATGAAGTTATATTTTATTTTTGACTGCCCTGTTTGTCTTCCTTATTAAAAGTTTTTTTTAAAGATTTATTTATTTATATAAGCACTGGGTACAGTCAGAAACACAGGAGGGTGAGACAATTCACCAGAGTGGGGAACAGAACAGGCAGAGTGACGAAGAACACTGCTGAGGGGAGCAGCGGGCACAGCAAGAGAGGTCTGTGCACCATGTGGGACCCTCGCTGGCAGCCAGGGATCAAACCAGCGCTGCAGAGGCTGCGGGCAGCTTCACAGCCCATCGCTCAACCGCTGTGCCACTGGGGAGGCCCCCAAAGCTTCATTCTTGAAGACAGAATCTTTGTCTTATTCACTATTTTATCCACAGCACATAGAACAGGATCTGCTACAAAGCAATCACCCAAAAAGTATTTGATAAATAAATTAACTAGATAGTACAAGAGAGGAATTATAAATCCAGCTACAGCAGCCAACTAACCAGTTGACAGAAGTTGACTTATTTCTACCTATATTTCCTTACTTGCCGAATCATATGTACATGTGTCTAAAACTAACCTCTTCCCTAAGCTTTCCTTTTCTCCATCTATTACACATAGAATATACTAGTGGTGGTTAAATTTTTCATTTAGTTGATAGGTTATGAGACCCAGAGATGTATAAATACCATCCAAATCTTCTAGACTTGGAGCTGAATGCATTAAGTAAATCATTGTATTGCCCTCCTTTGGGAGTGGGTATGAATATATATTCTGATTATAAAAGGACTAACTTCATTATGTTGGTTGAAACATTTTTTAGTTACATGTATAGGAAGAATGAGTCTTATATTGGGTGGCCAAGTTTTTTTTGACTCTCCAGCTTTCATTTTTCCTTCTTTTGTAATATTCCCTAAATTCCCCTTGAGAAACAATGACATCTGTTATATTTATGCAAACAGGATGGTATACTAAGTATCTTCTCCTCTTTTGGTTAAGGAATCATAGGGTCCTCTCTAGATCAATTAGACCCTTTCTCTCAGAAATAGGAGTCTTGTATAAAGTGTTCCAGAATATGGAAAATGGTTAATTTGATCCAAAATTTTAGTTGGTACCATAAAGAGCATGGTCATTAGTTTCTGCTCTAATTTCTATCTTTTCTGATATATGTTCCCTCAGTTTATCTTTTAATTTTGTGAGCTGTTTCACACATTTTCCCAAAAACCCTCCATTTTGCTTATTGGCCAACAAAAGTGCCTTACTTAGGATACCTACACCACTATTTCTTCAATTTTAAAACATGGATAATGCTGATCTCCTAGGATTTCAGTATAAAGATTAAATGAAGTACTCTATTTATTCAAAAATTTGAGTGTCTATTATTTTTTTAATTATAAATTTTATTTTTATATTCCCCATACAATTGCGACCCTCTTATTTTGACCCCAGCCCTCCCCTCCCCGACCCACCCCCATAGAGTGTCTCTGGTTCATAGTTGTTTGTTGATTTTGATTTTTACTTTCTTATATTCTTTTTCCTGGTCTCTTATTTAAGTTTTCTAGATTCCTGCTATGAGTGAGACCATCCGGTATTTTTCTTTTTCTTTCTGGCTTATTTCGCTGAGCATGATCCCTTCCAGCGCCATCCATGTTGCTGCAAATTGCATGTGTTTATCTTTTTTGAATGCTGAGTAATATTCCATAGTGTATATGTACCACATCTTCTTGATCCAGCCATTTATTTTTGGGCATTTGGGTTGTTTCCAAAGCTTAGCTACTGTAAACAGTGCTGCTATAAGCATAGGGGTGCAGGTGCTCTTTGGAATTGATGTTTCTGTGTCCTTTGGGTAAATACCTAGGAGTGGAATTGCTGGATCATATGGAAGCTCTATGTTTAGTAGGTCAAGAAATCTCCACACAGCTCTCCACAGTGGTTGGACCAGGTTGCACTCCTACCAACAGGGCAAGAGAGTTCCTTTTTCTCCACAACCTCTCCAACATTTGTTGTTGTTTGTTTTTTTAATATGTGCCATTCTCACTGGTGTAAGGTGGTATCTCATGGTAGTTTTGATTTGCATTTCCCTGATTACAAGTGATGTTGAACATTTTTCCATATGCCTGTTGGCCATTTGCATTTCCTCTTCAGAGAAGTTTCTTTTTAGCTCTTCTGCCCATTTTTTGACTGGATTATTTTCTGTTTTTGTTGAGTTTCATCAGCTCTTTGTAGATTTTTGTGATTAGTCCTTTATCATTAGTGTTGTGTGCAAAAATGATCTGCCAGTAGGTGAGGTTTCTCTTTGTTTTAGTTATTGTCTCTTTTGCTGTGCAGAAGCTCTTTAATTTGATGTAGTCCCAGCTGTTTATCTTTGCCTTCACTATCACTGCTTTGGGTGATGTGTCTGTAAAGATGTCTTTGATGTGCATATCACGTAGTGTTTTGCCTATATTCCCGTCTACGTATTTTATGGTTTCAGGTCTTATGTCTAGTTCTTTAATCCATTTTGAGTTGGTTTTTGTGTATGGTGTGAGGTAGTAGTCAAGCTTCATTCTTTTGCATGTAGCAACCCAGTTTTCCCAGCACCATTTATTAACAAACTTTCTTTGCTTCGATGCATATTCCTTGCTCCTTTGTCAAAGATTAGTTGACCATAAATCTGTGGGTTTATTTCTGGATTTTCTATTCGATTCCATTGGTCTGTATGTCTGTTCTTGTTCCAATACCATGCAGTTTTGATGATTATGGTTTTATAGTATAGTTTGAAGTCTGGGAGTGTGATGCCTCCATTCCCTTCTTTTTTTTTCAGGAGAGCTTTGGCTATTTGGGGATTTTGGTGATTCCATATGAATTTCATCAATAATTATTCTATTTCTTTGAAGAATGACATTGAAATTTTTATTGGAATAGCACTGAATCTGTATATTGCTTTTGGTAGAATGGCCATTTTAATAACACTTATTCTTCCAATCTATGAGCAGGGGATGTCTTTCCATTTCTTTGTGTCTTCTTCTATTTCTTTTAACAGTGTTTTATAGTTTTCTTTGTATAGGTCCTTTACCTC